GTAAAGGCATGTGTTCATTTTGTTTCAAAGAAGTCATAGTGAGGAGTCACTGTTTGCATGATTCTCTTCATTCTCTTCATAGAATATAATCAAGTGCTTTAGGGGATACCTCATGCTACTTCATGAACCTAAACTATGACACAGTATATCACACTATATTCAATGTCTTGGACACTGATATTTTCTAGCATAAGATTAGTTTATAAGCATCCTAGTGATAAGCATCTGGGCAGATTGGAAAGATACAAAATTATAAAGTGGAGCTGGTGTTGGTTTCTTTCCTTCTAACTTTTATCTTAAATTATCAAAATCAGTCATAAAAATGGATTGAAAATTTTGAAATATTTTAGCAGTGATGAAGAAGAATCCCCTTGCCAACACGACTTTACATAAAAAAGCTGTTAAGAGGTAACAATAAAATATGAAATGTCAAATGTCAGTCAATTCAGATTAAGAAATTCATCATAATTTTTGTAGATTATTTCTTTAAATAACATTGAATACACCACCCAAGAATATTACACAAAGAAATCTAACACATTTTTATCTCCTCTAACAAATTTGTATTTCCCCTTTAGTTTGCTATGATTTGTGTGAGTGAAAATTTCGCCTGTTTCCTTCTTAGAGGCTTTGTATATACTGTTGTAAATTACAGTGCTTAAAGGAAGATCCACGCAACTCTTTCTCAGTCAGTTAGTGGATGATGCATTTGGACTGACAATCATGTCACTCTGCTGGCTAATTAGCAGAATAACTATTTCCTCTGTGAGCTTTCAAGGAGTTGAAGCCTGATACTGTGTCCCAAAATACTGGTTTTGAGTGCTATTGTCTAAATCTGAAAATTAAGAATTTTTCCTTAGCGCATACCTTCTATTATGACAACCATAAAAAATTTACACCCCCAACTTACAAATGGAAGCTGAGATGTTATAGAACCTAAAATGTTTTAAGTATGATGGTTTAGAATGCTTAATAGCAGCATTCCGTCAGAGCCAAGCCCTCAAAGCAAATCCAAAAAAACAAACAACAAAAAAACCCTGTAGATTTAGGTGGCAGAACACTACAAATAAGTAGATTCGAACTAAATGTGAACTAATTTATACATATAAATGTATATATAGAATTCACCTTATTTGACCCCCTTAAATTCTGACTTTATACTCTTTTCCTAGATCAACTAATTTTATGGTTTATTAAGAAAACAAGTGAATTCCACTGGCAAAAATCCTCAGTAGAATTCTGTTCTTTTGGCTTTCTGAATATTTTGGTATTGTTAGTGGAAACAATCTGTCTGATTTCAGTTATGCTTATGGTCACCCGTAGTACAAATAGATATAATAATAGATGCAAAGTAGTCTAAGCAAATTATAATATTTTAGTACCGCTATGTTATGTGGTATTCTGATCAGTGTAACTAATTAATAACATAATAGTGCTTATAAAACACTGTGGTGCTATAAATTATAAGTGTGGCATTTATTATCAACCAACACAGTGAATATATGTTGCGATAGTTATTAGTCTAATTCCGTTAATTCAGATCTTAATCGGTTGAAAACGGATGACACTGATGTGATAACCACAGATACTGAAATTGCTAGGTGATTTATTGTTATGAAAAAATATATAATATGAATGCTTGCCCTAGTAACTGTTTCCTCTGTAAGCTTTCAAGGAGTTGAAGCCTGATTATGTGTTCCAAAATACTGGCTTTAAGTGCTCAAAGAAACTTTAATACTTCAGAACCCCTCATTTACATGATGTCAATTGATATTTCTAATGGTGTCGCTCTTTTTTGTTTCATTAAATTAGTTCTAAACATCTTTTAAAAGAATTTAAAAATATTTAGGTAACTATAGGTACTGAAGGTTATACTGTAATTCTTTTGAAAATATTTTTTCATTTAGACATGCACTAAGTCAAACTGACCCTGCACATAGCCTGTGATATAGAGTAACCTTTTCCATTTTAGTACCTGAGAATTGTTAAAAAAAGCACAACCCTCCAATCATAGCTGTTTTAATTAGCATCTTTTTAAACGTATCATTATAACTAGAATATAAACTTTAGGATTGTAGAGGATTTAGTTAGTATCCACAATGCCTAACATGTAGTAGATACACAGTTTCTTAATTATTTTACAACTGAATGAATGGACGAATGAATGACCAGTTTACCCTTCCTTCTTTTAAATCCATGCTTAAATAACTTAACTTGAGCTTGCCGTTGATTCCAAATAACATCATTGAAAGTATAACCCAACCTTGTTATGTCTTTTCGCTAAGATAGGACCTCACTCATTAGACTGTTTCTCTAAAGAGTTACAACCATTCAAAAAGAAATCAGTGAATTTCAAAATACTATCAATATTTGCTAGTATGGATTTATCAAGTCTTTACCTGAGCTCACTGAATTTTCTGTGCATCCAAAAAACATAGGAAAATTATTACCACAAATGTTGAAGAAAAATTCTACTGGTAAAACAACCTATATGACACTAATTTTGAAGGATAAAAAGTGTGTTTCATTAAATAGGTTTCTTTTGCCTATATTTTGTGGGTGAAAGCAAATTACTAGCCAGATTCTTTGTTGCTGTTGTTTGCTTCCAGAATTTTTTTCTTATAAGTTGTCTAAATACTTGAATGCTATCAAATTAAACTTCCCTGAAAATGATTAATGTATAAGCTACATTTATTTCATATTAGTCTAGCTGCAAATTGAAACCTGAGATACATCTGTATGTGTATGTGTATATATTTCTGCATCTGAAAGAATAATAATCCTTTATTTTTAACCTATAAGCCACTAGAAATTCAGTCTATTACATCATTTATACAATTCGTCTCTTAATTTCTCAGCATGCTGATATGCAGCACAGGGTTGAAAGCATTGTTAAAATGTAGATAAATGTTATCTGCCCAGCTCTCTCTATCCATTCTCTGTCATCTCAAAAAAGCTATTGTATTAGCATAGCAAGATCTGTGCCTTGCAAATACATTCTGACTATCGTGCAGTCCTTTTCTTTGAGTGTTCTTAAATCAATATAATTACATTTGCCAGTATTGTATCCAAGATAAAAGTCAGGCTACTCACCAAAACTTGTCCAGAGTAACCATTTTGCCTTCCACTCTTGAAGCAGTGATACCCCATTTAGAGTGCCCTTCATGGTCCTTACACAGCTCAGTTGATTGTCCACCTATTGAATATCACTATACATTTGCATGGACCCTCTTTTTTGAACCATTTACTCTCCAACTCTTTCCATTTTAGCTGAATTATATAAAGGTTACATTATTTCATAAAAGTTAGCAATATTTAAAGTTTGGGTTTATAGTTTCCTTCTTTAAAAATAAGCATTTTTTTCTAACTGTATTATATTTTAGAAAAATTAAACCTTTCAGTTCTGTTTTCCTTTTTATTCTTTGTCCTAATAAATGCTTGACTTTGACTTTCTCTTTTTCTCTGTATGTATTTGAAAATGTTCTGACTATATATAATTAAAAATTATTTCAACTTTTCTCCTTTTGATTTCTTTCTGTATTATTGAATGCTTTAGCATAACTGCTTAGGTTTTCTGTATTCTATTTTATGTTTAATATAGTATGCATTTAAGTGTTCTAATTATGTTTTAAATTCACTTATAAGCATTATTGTCTTTCTTTGCATTTTGACTTCTCTCTAATATGAATTTCACATTTGTGGCATAAGTATAGTGGTTTTTAAATTCTTTTCCCCCTTGTGTTTATTCAGAATAGCCCTACCCATTTGTTAGTTTTCTGCTTCAAATATTGTTGTTTCCAAAAGTGTTAGGCAACCTATTCTAAATTATTCCTGGAAATGGTGGACAGTGACAATACGAACACAATATTAGGTGATTCAAGTGAAGACTTAGATTTTGTTTAAGTTGAAATCCATCAACCCTTTTGCCACATCTGCTTGACAAGAAGTAAGAGATTAGCCTTAATTTCATCTTTTCTGTTATTGTTAATCCTTTGGCAAAGCTGGGGATAAAAAGTACTAGTAACTGAAAAGAAAAAAGGAGGTGCCAGGCAATGTTCTAAGTACTTTACCTGTTTTAACTCTCTTAATCCTCATGAATTCTGAGGTTTGTGCTGTTATTATCCCTGTAGTATAGGGAGGATAGGAAACTAAGGCATAAAAACTAGCTCTATGGCTAATAAGTAGTGAAGGCAGTACACAGACCCGGGAGTATGACTCCAGTACACATTCCCCCTATTTAAATAGCCTGGATAAATCACAACCCTACGATCAGTGTTCAAATATAATATGATTTAAATCCCTCTTTCTCTGTCCTTTGCCTTCCTCTCTGGATCTCACCCTCTAGCTCTTATGTACTTGTTTACTGTTTTTTGTGTGTACTCAGATAGATCTGTACCCATTTTATGTTGCCTCACTTGTGTTTCTGGGACCCCAGAAGGTGAGATACTTGTCAGAGGCACAGTTTGTCAAGGTGTCCATGTCCTTTTCCCATAATCTCTATCTGCTTTTCTCCCCAGTGACTGGCTGGTCTGTGTAAAACACTCACTTGTCAAGTCCACACCATCCTTCAGAGCCTGGACCAGAGCCAAATCTACCCTTTCTCAGAGGTCCTGGCTCTCCCATGCTTTGAGGTCCCTAGCATAAAGCACACTTGGCACCATGTCTTACCACACCCAGAGAGAGAACTGTTCTAATCCCTCTTTCCCTCCACTGTGGCTCCTTGCCTAAGACCAGAGAAGAAGATGAATATTTGGGGTTCTGAGGCATCCTTTATTCCTTCTGGACACCCTTTATAAGAAGATTAGAATGAAGTTAGAAGGGTAAATTTAACAGGCGCAGGGGTATCACTTAGGAGTCAGTGTTTATTTGGCATGTTGCCATAAGCAGGTTAGGTAGAAATAAGGATTGTCCTTTTTTGCCCTCTCCTGAATTGGCTACGCATTGTAATACACAGTATGACTTCCTTCTTAGGTTTAAACATTTGAGTTTACCCCCTTCCC